TTCGCTGTGTGGTCATTTGGTTCCGTGTTACAAATCTTTCGGTATGTGCTTTCCGCCTTCAGGTTGCAGATTAGTGCCACAGCAGTCGGTGGTGCACAATTTACGAAGAGTCATTGGTGAAGGCCATTAGTTCACAGCTGTAGGTTACATTAACACCTCTTTTGGACCAATTACAAAAGACGCTACGGTGTACACCAAAGATGCTGGTTTGACCCTACGCCGTTCCAAGCACTGCAGCGAATAAGCCCAATCGCGTATCGTACGAAGACAGGGAACACAGGTGCGCATTGTCCCATGCCGATAGGAGATGTGATGTGCTGTGAGTGTGTAGGCGGCTTTTGTTTACATGAACGCCAGTGACCGAGACTTTTTGCTTATGAAGACTGAAGGGAGTAGTCACAGAACTGTAGCACAAAGATCAACAGAGTACCAAAAATGAACTGCCTGAATGTGCTAGGAAAAGTACTTCGCTTGCAACCGAACAGCTGCTCAAGAGTAGATCGTTTGCGAACAAGCTACTTAGCCTGAGTTGAACCATTGGGTTGCGAGACCACAAAGGTTATGGAGGACTGGGCCAGTTCGTTAACAATCTTCGACCCAGGTGAATTGAGACTAGCCGCATCCAATGGTGGGAGACTGTTTGTGAATTACAACAATTTGTGACTTTGTAGCATCGTTATATTGACTCCTATCACTGAACCTCAGTTCATCAGCCCTACAACGTAGCTGGATATCCAACCTCATCTTCCGCTCTTTTCTTTTTCTCCACTCTTCTGGATCCTTGTTCGTTTAGTGGCTCGTTGTCCATTCGTCTTGCCGAAAGGCAGATGGCGTGTTTATGCTTAACAAACTGAATCTGTATATGTGGTGTCCTATACCATTTAAATTCCCTCAATTTTACTTGACCTGATGATAACAAACTTGTATAAACGGTTTTATTTTGTCAGAACTTTTTAACGCACATGGGGGAATGGTATTGGACGGTGTTGGATCAGACGAACGAGGAGACGGTTCTTCGTCGAGAGGAAGCCAACGCCGAGTTTGATTTACACATTCGACTGAATGAGACACAGGCCCACCGAGCTCGAGAAGTAAGTTAACTTGCCCCCTCTCATTAATCCACAAACGATGTAACCTTTTTTTGTAAGCATGTAAACATCAAAGAATCCTGTCACTAGGATCAGCTACGCTACTCGTCTAAATGTTTGGCTCACAAATGCATCCAATACTAGCTAGGTCCATGTACGCTGTATGAGGGGTTGCAACTTCCAGTTTATTGAGACAGCCCTGTTCTTAAAATCGAGTACCTACTCCCTCTTTTGTTGAATACAAAAATACTGGGTTCTCATGCATGGACTGAAATCGGAACGGCGACTGCGACATCACCTTAGCTTTTCCAACGCTCCACGTAACCATAATTTACCCAATCAAGAAAGCCAACCGTCTATGATGCCACTAGGTTAGATTTTATCATGCATTAATGATTTTGACTGGTAGCCATGTCCTCGCTTTTCGTCATTGTCACAGCTAAAGAGGTCATACGCTGTGACAATATTCAGTAACATAGGCCGACTCGTATCCGCTATTGCCAAGACTACTCAAGGTCATAATGTGCAAGCCACGAGGTTGATACACCACTATTCGTGATTATCTCAACATAGGAGAACGTCCAAGCGTGGTGCAATTGTCAATGCGGTACGGCACACTATCTTTATTAAAGGTTTCTAAAATGTTATTCTCAGTCGGATGGGCAAAAGCAAGTTAAATGTGTGTCCGTTTGAAGCGCCTCCTGTTGTATTGTGCTAAACGCACTATGTCCGCCTGTAAACCGGTGCCCGTAACGCTTATGGCATACATCCGAAGAAACGTTAATGGCCACTCTGAGCAGAACCAGCGTACAATACTTTATCCATGAGTGTCTCCTTCTGGGTATTGGCATGTTGGATTTGTTAGCGTTCAATTGATAACCACACGTCTAGTCAGTTGCAAGCTGCAAACTGCGTACCTGAGTACGAATGCAAGCGAGGAGGGCAGACTTAGAGGGGACGCTTGCATAAGAGCCCATTCGTTCTGAGGGCACGTAGTATGTTCTACCTTAAGCACCTCGGTAGATTCGTTCCGACAACTTATGGCCTCTATCGAACCGGATCGCGAAGCTGGGGGATCAGCACCCACATGCTCAGTATACGGATTCTCTACATGTAACTGTACTGTGTGAAGAAACCTGCATAGAAATTTTGCAAATGGTATGCCGTTATGCGTGGGGAATTTCGATGTGACTAATTGCGAGTTCGTCACTACAGCTTCGAAATCAGGTAAAGCTTCACATGTCCTGCAAAGCGTTAACCCATCGTTACGACCTGTTGGGTTTCGTCCGCCGTGCATTGATACGAAGAACTCTCAATTAATTACAAAAGTCCCCTACTTCATTAAAATATTCGCTCCAATAGCCCCAAACTGCTGAGTCGTCTATGGCTGTTGTCAATAAATGTCGTGTGTCTCCGAGGCAACCCTGCCTCTTTTCGACATTCGTGACTCGCATGACACTGAAGGATAGGACGGTTATATCGCAGTTAGCTAGTAGATCATGGTGGTCCGCCTAGTCCCCTATGGCTCAGTGGCATAAGCTATTGTTTGGTGATCATGGATTCGGATCCTGATGGAGCCGATGTAGGTGCACTGCTAGTAAGAGCCACCAGGTCAAAGCGGCCGTTCAGTATTTTTCTGGTCATGTGAAGGACTAGCTGATTGAAAAGCTGCTACGATGCTCTCAACTAAAAGATAAAACATTACTGAGGACAACGGCCAATTAGCTGGCTTATTCACTGGGTAAGCTTCTAGTACTGTTTGCAGGTGGTGTAGCTCGTCCGGATTCGTAAGTATGCCACGGGATATTATCGTTATCAATGTGGCAACCACGTTAGCGCATGCATGGCACGCAAAATGTTAGAATATAACAGTTGATAAGCACCTTTTGGGCTGTTTGCCGAGCTGGGCAATTTCGCTGCAGACGTTTCATCTCCAATCGGGGTGACTTCGTTAACGCTTTACTGCGTTGAATGAGTCGCCATACCTTGATCGACGAGATTGCCCACTGCACAGTAAATCACAAACGAAGTCAGCTCGACTTGTGATGAAATGTCTGCAGTAAAATTGCCCAACTAGGAGAACAAATCAAAAAGTTGACCAGCCAAATCGAGTTCTGGGTAATTCGATTTGCTGCATAACTCGTTTATGCTTATCAGCAGGTGTGAGAAACCACGGCTGAGTGGCTTGTTGTTGGGGCCAGTCAGTTTGAGGAAGAGGCCACTGGAGTACATTAAGTAACTTGTGTTAAAAAATGAAGATCTCAACAGTGATTCACGGACGAAGAAAATTAGCGGAACTGAATAATATCTATGAAGAAAATATCGTTGTTGACAAAGGTGGAAACTATGTTTGATTAGACATCGTTTGATTTTTTGTGCATCAGGATATCGCTAACGTAAGATTGACGGAAATTGTTCAGCACCGAACCCGTATCAAGCGGCATGAGGAAGCTGCAAAATTACTTCTTGCTGACCTACAAGCCAACACCATGATTGAACTGAACAAGCTTCTGGATACTTTACAATCAAAGACGATTGAAATGATTGATAAGGACCTACGGCCTAGGATGGGAAATGCAACGAAATCTGTACAGTGAGTAAACGGGAAAGTTTTCTGCCTTTCATTGCTTCTCGCTCTAATAATTTTCACCGGTGAATGTTTTTTCAAACATGTATCCACCAGCGCCAGCACACTGTACCTCGTGGCACAGGACGCAAATACTATACATAAATGAGGAGACTTATGATGGGTGCTTTAATTCTGCACGTGTGTAACCAGCACAATTTGTGCGACCGACACAAAGGCAACGGAACAGACAGAGCCGATGGCACACGCCGTGTATCTGGCCCATTAGCATTTAGTTGCGAAAAGCTGGCCACTGAGTGGGTGGGTGACAGACAGACACACCTTCGCTCGCACACGTATGGAGAACCAAAGCATGATGTGTGAACACCTGACCTGATTAGAAAGAACAACGACCCTCCGACGAGTACGCCACAAGTGCTCACAACGAGTTGTTTGGAAAGAGAGAGGCAGCCAAACAGCATTGCAAAGTGCTGGAAATGCTGGATCGTGGATCAGTAGGACTAACGCGAAGCGCAGCACACGATTCAGGAAGGGAGAAAATGAAAGAGACTTATGAGCAGTAAAACAATTAGACTTTTGGAAGGTACAAAACCAGTACAATTCCATGCTGCAATGCGACAGAGGTTTACTGCAAGCTCAGCATCCATATTAAAACAAGTAAGCTACCTTGCACTCGTAGTGTAGATCAAATCCCTCTTAGTATATGCAATACATTTACCTAAACTCCAAAAGTAGGTCTATGAACTTGTTCTTTGTATCGTCCTCTTTGTAACCTAGATTAACCGCACTCAAGTGCAAATTCGAGGATATCGTGAAAGAACACATGAAAAAGGTTTGTGACAGTTTATTGGAAGCCCGACAACGTCTTGAAGACCGCATTAAAGTTATACGCAACTCGAACTTCATGCTAGTTGAAAACCTCAGGTAGGTAATTTATATATTTATTCGCTTACCCACGTAATATTCGACATCCTCGTGACCCATTGAGCAAGCGAGCAAGTTGCACGGTGGTGTAGCAAGTCCGGGTGGCTTACTAAAGAATAAAACCTCCAAGGCAGAAGTACCCGAAAATAGTAATCGTTATTCCTATAATGCAAATCCCGGCTATCTTATATCGCATCATAACGAAGACCTGTGCATTGGCATCATCAACATCCTCATCATCATCAAGATCATCAGCAACCTCGTCATCGTCATCCTCCTCCTCCTCCTCCTCATCATCATCGTCATCATCATCATCATCATCATCTTAATTATCATCATCCACTTGCGCGCTGGCTTAGACCCAGCAGACGGAGAGAAACTCAAGTCTGCGATGATTGAACTAAAGTGACGCATGGAGGATGGAGAATCAACTTTCCGTATTGTATATTTTCGGGTAGTTGCCCGGATTCCTCCGCGAATCCGGGTCAACAGATTTCTGATGCTTCAGGCGCGTCCAGCGTTTTCTACCGTGGTCTGCGTGTAGCCTTTAATAACATCTGCAGTCTGATGAACAAGCGCGATGTGCTGTACTACTTTGTAAGCCCTCAGCGACCAGACGTATTAGACCTTACTGAAACATGGCTAAACTCCGATGTAACCGACCAAGAAGTAGAAATCAGCGGCTACTCATGCTTCCGCTGTGATAGACCATCAAATGATCGCGGTGCCTTTCCACTTCACATAAAGTCTTCTTTGTGTGGGAGACTAGTGGGCGCCCTCCGAAGCGCTGATGGTCTATATGAGCAGTTATGGTGCTCGATCCACCTCAGACGCTGCGATACGCTCGTAGGCTTGGTATATCGCAGTCCACTGAGCCGCTATTTGGACTGGTTGCCGCATGTCCACAACCACATGAATCTTCAGCTGTTCCAAATCATGGGCGATTCCAACTTACTCCGAATACAGTGGCCTGAGGCTAAACTTCTCCCCGGCCATTATGAAGTCGAAGTTTACGAAGTTGATATTTGAAATCGGGGCCACACAGCACACCAACCGACCGACACGCATAAATTTGCGTGCGATTCCATCCGTTTTTAGACCTGCTGTCGACAAGCTGTGAGCAACGTGTACATGGTACTCAACTCTTAGAGCCTTTGGGAGCGAGTGACCACTCGATGGTCATAGGAAGCTTGGACCTGCCGCTGCCGTATTCTCCCCGCTGGAACCAGTGTTAAACTATTGAAAGGCAGACTTTAATGGCCTCATTCGAGCAGCGAGCCATATGGACTTGTCTGTACCACAGGATTCGTCTATTGAAACTTGTTGGACTATCATTAAAGAGGGAGTAAAATCGTTGTGCGCCCGATTTGTACCTCTCAAATATCGGAAAGTTGGGCCAGCCAAACCACATTGGTTCGACAAGGAGTACAGCAAACTGGCCCGACGACGATGCAGACTATGGAACAAATTCGTGTTATCTGGCTCTGATGAGGACCACAATGCGTACAAGGTACAGCGAAATAGCTGCACCAACGCGAAAACAGAAAAACGCAAAAGCATCGAAGAGCTGCTTGCAACCGCCGCAAAAACTGCTCCCAAGTGGATCTTCGCATACGTGAAGCGGCGTCTGAGGCCTGCAGCCAATGTCGCAGTGTTAGAAGGCTCAGATAGACAGCCCCTAACCCCGAGTACAGATCGTGCGTCCACATTGGCAGCGCACTTCCCCTCCGTATTTGTAAGTGACCAGGTGTCTGTAACGAGTTCGACAAGTACCGCTCTCGCTGAACTTGACAGCCTGGACTGCAGTATTAAAGATGTACGCAGGCTTCTGGCAAATCTTGACGGGACGAAGCCTGCTGGGCCAGGTGGAATCCACCCACTGATTCTCAAGTCCCTATCGGCCATCATGGCGCCTTCTGTAACTGAGCTGTTCAACAGGTCACTATCCACTGGAATATTACTGGGCGACTGGAAATACTCAGTCATAAAGCCCATACCGAAAGTTGGTAACCCAAGCAAATTGGATAACTACCGGAATATCTGCTTGACCGCTGTTTTGATAAAGTCGCTCGAGAAGATCGTGAAGAAGAGCCTACTAAAGCTTCGCGAGTCGAAAAGCCACTTGACGCCCGCACAGCATGGTTTCGTGATAAGTCGCTCGTGCATCACCAACCTAATGTTGGCGAGGCACGAATGGTAAAAAGCGCTGAACCAAGATGAATCGGTCGACGTCATTTACTTTGACTTCAGTAAGACTTTTGACAAGGTTAACCATGCAGTGCTCCTCTACAGGCTGACAGTGTGCGGTGTTGGTGGTTCACTGCATCAATGGATCAGGAATTTCCCTGTTGATCGAAAGTGTAGGGTCCAAGTTGACAACCATTTAACCGAATGGTATCCATCAAGCAGCGGCGTGCCCCAAGGCACTGTACTGGGACCGATGTTGTTTCTAATCCATATAAACGATGTGCCTCAGCTACTCCAATCTCCTCGTGCGTTGTTCGCAGATGACTTGAAGATGTGGAAAGTAATCCGCACACTCAATGATTGTGATTTACTTCAGCAGGATCTCGACAGCCTCTCAACATGGTCTGCAGAGGTCAACCTTCCGATCAACCCGCTAAAGTCGCAATTCATGAGGCTGGGTAAATGTGAGCACAGCCGAACCTACACGGCGGCTGGTCAACCGTTGCATTCCGCGCCTTTTGTGCGCGACCTCGGTGTACACTCACACTGCGATCTAAAGTCCATGAACAACACGAATATTATTTACCAAAACAGCTTTCGTATGCTTTGGGTGCTCAGGCGCAGCTTCAGCACTTCGTCCGTACAGATTGCCACTAACCTCTTCGTCTCAATACTACGACTAATGCTAGAGTATGGCCCTCCCGCGTATTGTCCCATCACCTGGGGCGAGGTAGAAAAGACTGTACGAGCGAAGCATGTAGCCACCAGGCTGATTCTCAACATCCGTGGTGTGCCGTACGAAGACCGGTGTAAGAAACTAGGGCTGTACACACTCCTTATATCATTATACACGTCAGTTAGATGTGGGAAACATCTCAGCTACTGTGTCGCAATACATAAAGGAAAAGGAAAATAAATACAACACTTGCATATCAGCTGCGCCACCAACAACGGATAGGCATCATTCCAGTAGGCTACCAGCCGGTTACTAGGCTATAATGAAAATTATTATGTTTTAAAAGCACGGTAAGAACACGAAAACTGGTAGATGCATGCATTTCGTCTTGTCTCCTCAGTACCATTAACAATAACCGGTATGCAACTATATACTTAAATTTGCGTGTGACCGAATAAGCGTGAGGTGCAAAATGAATGACGGAAGTTCCACACCTATGTCCACGGAAGTCTTAAGCTGATAAATAATTGCTTTTGAACACACAGGGCCGGCTTCATCCGGCTTATTGCAACGGCCGCTGCGAAACGGAGGAAGCGGGGATTAGGGTGACGTAATACAAGTGTGAATGCTGATCCGAGCATAATCTGGTGACGCGTAGTCAGTAGGTGTTTACCTATTGAGGAATCTGGCGTCTTGCGTAAGCACGGAACTTCAGTGGGATAGGGATGCTGGTCAATTTCACGTTGAACCCACCTTGGCACGTGTTCCTTTATGTTTTACTCTACAAAATGAGATCGTAGATGGGGGGAGGCTAAAAGGGATGGGGTGAGGCAAAGAAACTCAAAGCAGGAACGCTACTGAGGTTGGCTGCTTGCCATGTCATCATATGTATCAAGCCAAACGTGTTCATCGTCTTATGGACCCCAACCAGGGAACCGTGACGCTCCAACCGAGGCCAACTCCGATGTGAGGGTCTTCATTCCTCTGGAACAGGTCATCGCTAGGCCACCCTTCCTCTGCTTCCATCCACATCCCCTTTGACCAAACAACGCACGTCTTGCAAGTGGGTGGGCTGGCATACGCAACACGTGGCCGAGTCATCGGAGGCTGGTGCGTGAAATGACGATGCTGGGCGGTTCAGTTCCTTTTCCTGTGCCATAAAGAAGGCGTCGAACACGCTCGTTACTCACGCGGTGTTCACACCAGATATGAGCCAAACTGCGAAGGCACCGATGGTCGAACGTAACTAGCCTCTTTATGTCCGCCGATCTTAGAGGCCAGGTTTCGCAACCTGTACACTCTAGCTTATCGTCGAATGCGGGTTGACCTCATAAGGACGCACCTGATATTAGTTCTGGTAGATAACCCCATGTTGAGGCCACTGCTTCATCTGCGCATACCAACCAGCACAGGATGACACCGATACAAGCTTGTCGTACCGGATTTGAAGCGGGTCGCTCACCAACTCGGTTTCGAACGCAGAGTGGTGGATGCATGGAACGGCCTACAGCAGCACGCAGTTGAGGCAAAGTCGTTGTCGGAATTTAGGAACTTCTTGGGCAAACACTTTGCCGACGCAAAATATATTGAGCGCAACATAACATAACGGGTCTTTGTCCCTGAGCGACATTAGATGCAGCTATACAGAGCAAACACTACATGTCGCTTCCAACCAGTAATCAGTAATCCTCCTCCTCCTCCTCCTCCTCATCATCATCATCATCATCATCATCATCATCAGTAAACATTATCTGAGAGGGAGAAACCCGCCTCCGCTGGTGTACCGTAATACCAAATTATATCACACTAAAATAACACAAGTGCTTTAATGTAGCGGAAAAGTATTTGTACATATAATGTCATTAACTTGGTATGCGATTGCGATTGCAGGTGGACACTAAAGCCTTGGAAGATGGGTTAAGATGCTCACAGCACAGATGCCATTGTGGATCGGCTCCTAGCCATATCAGCGTGTATAAGCAAACTCGTTCATCGCCCATCAGACCCCAGCCTAGCAGTCGTGATGCACCATCCGATGCCAACTTCGAATTGAGAGACTTCATTCCTATTGACAGAGCCATTGTTTGGCCTCTCCTCCTTCTCTTCTATTCATACCCCGGACACGCAAACGATGCAC